AAATTATTTAACAACTATTCTGACAGTTGTACATTGTACAGCTTATGATCTTAAAATGTCATTTCATATGAAATAATCATGTTATGATTATTCTTCCCAATGATATTTTTCTCTTTAATTCACTGATAATTAGTTTTTGTTATTGTGGGTACTGTTTTAACCTAAAGTTTGCCTGCAATTTTTGTTAGAACCTATCATCCACCATTCAATAGTTTTGTGTTATCTAACTATATCTGGGTGGGAATAACTAAATATTTTATGTAAATATGCATGAATTCATGATGAATCGATCAGCTAGATCCCAAGTGGAAGTCTGTAAAGCATATTTGCGGTTTATAAAAGGACGATAAATCAAGTGTTTGAACATCACTGAAAAACATTGTATTTAAATATTTTGTTTGTGTACCCTAAGATATTTGGTATATTTATAACAACATTTCAAATAACTTTTTTATGATCAAAATGAAAATGAATTTATATTCGTTCTTGTTTTTACAAAGCATTTACATAGATTTATATAGGAGAGAAACATTGACTTATTTGGGAATTAATAAGCACAAAATAAAACTTTATTATCTTGATCAATCACAATTAAACACAAGCTCGATAATGTTCCGAACACAATTTTTTGTTATTCCACTTGTTTAGTGTGGCATCAACAATGATTGTGTAATAGAAATAAACAGGTTTAATCGTAATCAGTATTAGCGATTCTAATTTCTGATAAAGTCAAATTCATTAATTCAGGTTAAGATGAATTTATAGTTTGTTGTTTAGAGGTCATCGAGGTGCTACATGCGTCACTGTAGTATACAACACATGTAACTTTTGTGTTTCATGATACTTAAGCGATCAATGCTTGGTGCTGGAAACTTCATATTTGACGACGCGTGTTTAATGCACAAAGACTGCTAGTATACATTTATTTTGATCAAAAAAAATAAACCAAATTTATATTTAAGTCACCTCTAATGAGCTGATTGTTGTTAGATTAACATTCAGATTTGTGCAAACTGACCAACTAGTATTAGGCATTAGACAATTAATTACTTACCATGCGAATACACACTTGCAGTATCATAATGGCGGGTTTTTACACTGAATCAGTAATTCTCTTTTGATCGAATTAGAGTACAAGAGATGAAGAAAATGTATTTGTGAAGTATTTTATTAGCTGGCTAGCTTAAATAAGTCAACAAGCAAAAAATACATCGCTTAACTTGGTCTCAAATGTATTTATGCACCTTGCAGAATTGCAATAAGGTAAATTAAAAACTAAGAAGAGATGTTATGAATGTTTTATCCTCACCATTATACACGTTTAGTAAAAACGAAAATTAATCTTAAAAATAGTTGACTTGTGTAAAGTTTAGGAATTCATTATAAAAAACAGTATTGTTATTTTGATTGTTGTGTATCTCAGTTCTTAAAGATGAACGTGTAGGTCAAAAGAAAACAATGGGGATTAACTAGTCACTACAAGAAAGTGAATAAGCTCACATTCAACCAAGAATTAAACTATCAAAACCGCATACAAATTTTGATTACATTACACATAATCACAATTCAAAGAGTAAGTTCATTACATAGCAATCCAAGGATAAACAAGAATTGAAGCAGATATTTGTTCATTGAAGTATATTATATTGAATGTCAAATAAGCCTTTTGTTTTCTAAATTCTATTTTTTCCTACCCGAAAACGTGATGCAGAAAATATGGCTATATATAAAGTAAATGGCCATCAGGGCCGGTCGCAATCTCTAAAAACTCTGCTTGACTAAAACGTTTAGGCTCTGTTCTACATAATGTCAAAGTAATGATCCAAAATTTGTCTTAATTTATTATCAATGAAACTAACACACCAATGAAGAAACAAGTGATAAACGTGGTTGTCCTTTGAGTCGTTTGAAAAACATGATTATCCTAAAAACACTGTGAAAGTTTGCTGCTAATATCTAGTAAACCGACAAATGTAGTAAAGAGGTACGACCGTTTCTATAGTTTTGTCATTAAACCATTTAGCAAAATATAAAAATAAAAGCTTTGAGTGCAAACTTAAGTAATCACTAAGCATAAAGCAAGGTAAAAACGAAACATGTGATTATGGATATCGAAAACGGACAAAATGTACATTGAGTTAAGCAAAAAGAAAAGACAAGTATATTCGTTTGATATAAAAAAGCACTAATTCCTTAGAAAATTACTGATCAAAAACTGCTAGGTTGGAAATATAAAAAACAACTAAGTAAAAAAACCATGCTCCTGAACATCGAGAAAAGAGAAAAATACAACAAGTGTACTTTAAATAAAAGGCAAAAAACATATCCAAAAAAGACCAAACACACTAAGTTTAAGACATTTTAAATTATTTTAGTCACGGTAAATGATCAACGATGATGTTGTTTAAAACAAAATTTAACACAAGATTCCTGACCTCATTCAACTGGAGGAAGATGATTATCAAAAGGTTAATCAAACCTAAGTCTCTCGTCAAAAATACAATATTTGCCCAAATTTACGAATTTTGAAGATTGGCAGATTAATAACAAACCGAAAGTGGTAACAACTTTCACCACAAGACTAGTTTAGTGTATAAGTCAGGTTCATTCGTCATAACGTCCAGGAATAGTTACAAAAAAATGATAAAAAGACAAAGACATCTGACGAGGTTACCTAACTACCAGTTGAAACATTTTCAGTCAATTCTACTAATGAGTCAATACACCAAATTGGCTATTAAACGACAAATGTTTTCTTGTACTCGTTTTATGTACAACGTGTGATCAATTTATTCACGATAAACTATTTTACTTGATCATTACATTAGAATTAGGCCTCCTTCTGTGTGAAAGGTCGTCTAGTAATATTATGGTAATTACATTACTATTGATCATTCACAGATGACCTAATGCCAAAACATACTTCTTCAAATTACCAGTAAATATTGAAATCGCCCTTAGTTCTAAACCTACAAATGTATGAGCAACTATACAATTTTTGAATTATTTTTTCCGGTTGGCGTTTTTATAGCGAGTTAGTTTTCTACGGGATGGGGTCGCTAACTCCATGCCCAACCCTCCTTCTTTACGCGAGCTTGGGACCGGCAGTAACTCTGGGAGAGCTACAGGTGGACTTTCAACCAATATCAAAGTCAGAATCTTCAATACGAGCGTCAAGACAGTTCTACTGTACGGAGCTGGAACTTGTAGAACTACTACAACCATCATCAAGAAGGTACGAGTATTTATAAATAGTTGTCTGTGAGAGAGAACAAACCAGCTTCCAGCCAAAGAGGAAATTAGGAAAGGACGATGGAAATGGATAGGACATACATTACGCAAATCATCAAACTGCATCGCGAGGCAAGCCCCAACTTGGAATCCTGGAGGGAAGCGGAAAAGAGGAAGACCAAAGAACACTTTACGTCGGAAAATAGAGGCAGATATGAAAAGGACGAATAACAACCAGAAAGGATTGCCCGGAACAGGGTTGGATGGTGAGTGTCGGTGGGCGGCCTATGCTCCTCAACGAGGAGTAACAGGCGTAAGTAATTAAGTAAGCAAAGTATACAATTTTGATCTTAATGGCATTTTTGGTTTCGGATTATATACAGGCAAATACAAGACAATATGAATAAAATTCTATTCATGTTAAGATACTCAGACGGAATTAAAGATTCATCCCACCAAACAAAAGCTTCTACAATACACATAAGCCGCTGAGTGCAATAATAAACCAGTTCAGAATCCACTAAATGGGGCAAACACTCTTTTAAAATCAAGAAACTCATTCCTCGGTGAGTTTTAATTCTGTAAATGTTTCTAGACACTAAGTCCTGTCTCGTGATCCCGTAACACAATTGCATGTCTATAATAAAACCTCAAATCAATTTTTAAGTTGGGCAGCAAACCGCAAAGAGATTGGTTTTGGAGCCTGGACATGAAAGGAAAAGACTAGTATTCGTTTGAGAAGCGATTTGAAATACACCTTCTAACGCTTCATACTTAACATCGAACCACTGTAAACTGCCTACTTAAACTTCGGCCGTATAAAAAACGTGCACTCATTGATTACGCGTTCAGCTTACCAATTTATGATGCTGTCGAAATGCAAAATATACACAAAATATAATAGATTTAAGAATATAGTCTACTTAACATAACAGTAAAGGAAGAAGCTCTCGTATAAGTCTGAAAATCAACCTAACTAAAGTTTTGGGTGGCAATTAACCGGAACAGAACTGTCAATATTTCTTATCCTTGTTAAGTAACTCAAATAAAACTTCCTATTTGAATGAAACAAAATAATCACCCGTGTTTATCAGTTTTTGAACTCATACAAAGGAGTTGATAATATATAAGCTTACCCATCTTAATAGATCAACCGGTCTGTCAAAAACTACAGTCAACGCGGTTTATTCGAATGTACCGGTATACACAAAAGATTGTGTAATTTTATTCTATGCAGAGTCAAAAGACGTCATACATATGCTATCTGAATCGAACATTTGAGAAAAATAGTGATTAGGTCGTCTTTCGCTTCAAAAACCACAGTATTTTAAGATCTTCAGCTACTTTAGATGGTCAAATAGTTAGCTCAAGTCAGTAGACCAAACAACAGCCAGCCAAATATTTTAGAGTCCTAAATAAGATATTGGAACGTACACTGATGTTAATTAGTTGTATGTATTTTTCTGAATGATTGTTCAGTTGGCCTTCATTCCAACTAACGTATGATCGTAGTCCCTTAAGTGCGAAGAGTCGAAATAACTCAAGGTTCCTCGAGTTGGCACGCTATGAGCAAGAAAGATACTAAACAGTAAACTTGGACAAGAGAAAAACAGACGAAACAAATTTGACACTACGCCTTTAGCATGCAGGTATCAGACAAAGGCCTATACAAGTTCATGGACTAGTCTAGGAGAACAATAAATCCACTCCTCTACTTATGTTGTAAATCGTAGCAATAATACAGCACTTAAAGAATTAAAATAACTTACTGGTTATTGTGAAGGAAATAATACCGAAAACTGTCAAGATTCCAAAAATCATCCCCACAGACCAGGTGGGCGCATCTGTTTACTATGGTGAATTTTCATTATGACGAAGCTATAGTCTGAATGAAGTGCGCAGTATTAAGTAACGTATTTAAATTCTCAACACATAAGGTCGTATACTGTCGTGTTCAATGTCCAAGACTTAAGGAGGTCGCGTTTCAATATTCATTCATTTGTACGTGCGTTCAACGCGAATCTCTTACCTACAATAATTAGTTAATGTTCATTATCAGGTTTCGTCAATCGAACGGATGTTAATATATGAGATTGACGAGCTACCCAGTTTGCTGTTGAAGTTTAAAAATTAAACAGACACGTAGCTAACCTGTTAGTTTTACTTTCATTTGAATAATACCCTTCGATTAGTCAGGTATGCACTAGAGTTAAATAAATCCCCAAAATAAGTAGCTCTGTAAGGGGTGAATTAATCCGCAACGCAACCATGTAAACTTAATGTATCTCCCAGTGTAATAACAGTCATCTGTGCGTTCAAGTAACCACAGAATTTGTCATTTCATAATGTATTTTTAATTAAATAACTATATTTTGTTGTTGTTATTTTGCTTTATTTTTAATTTTCATTCGCCACGTCATGCTGCGTTATACTGTGTGTTCATTGCACGCTGGAATGATATCTTAAGTTATAGTTAGTTTAATCACATAGTTGAATGTTTCCAGATAGACTGTCAGTGCATGATGTTGCTGAAGAAGTGTTTGTTGTACTGTAAACTATGTCTTCATGACTGATGTCTTCAGCGTGAAAGCAATATATATATCCTTTGTCTTCTGTTAGGTAAGTTCAAATGGCCTATATTTCGTGTTTTGGTTTTATCGGCTGAACTTTGTTCATTTTACTCCGTTTAGCAACATGTTTGTGCAATTGGAACAATAATTATAATATTTACTCAGTTTAGTGTTCTTGGTTGCCTTTATAATTTAGATTAGTCGATAGAATTATAGTATACTTATGTATAGTGCTTAAAGCCTGTAACGAAACGGATCAATTTAGTAAGTAGAGCTGCCTGGTTTTAGTGAGTATACTGATTCAAATCAGTCAGATTAAAAATAGGAAAAAAAGTGCCTTTGATGCTGTTGCTGTCATATATTATAAGATAGCTTTAAGTACGTTTGGTGTTTATTTATAGACATTACGTCTAACACTGTTCATGTTTCAAGACCACTGTCACTAAAACATTTCCCCAGCAATAACAGCTGTAGCAGAATAGCTAATTGTCTGAGCTTTTACTTGCCTGCAGAAGAGCAGTATACAATATTTGAAGATGAGTGTTCTGTGTCTAAATTAAACGCAGCTAGCTGTTGACAAATGTTAAGGATCTTTTTGTCAACTGGAACTTTTAGTTTATCAGACACTAACTCTACTTGTATGTCTTCCTGTTAAACTAGACGTAGATGCATGGGAATACTTAAATGGGAGCAAAATGATAAAAACATTGCGATACGGTGCTAAGTTCATATTATGCTTTGCACAAATCATAGTAGCTGACCTGATCTAATACTCATGAACTCAAGGTAAATCACAACTGCATAAATTCTTTGTTAAAAAACATGCAATTTGGTTATTTATCAATTCCACATTTCTGACTAAAGTCATTACTATTTTCTCATTTACAATGCAACAGGAGTGAGTCTTCACAGATCCTAAGAACTGTTTCACCCTTAGAACTATGGCCCTATGAAACTGTTTACGGGAGACCCAACTAACAGCAGATTATAAAAAGGATGCTGGATGTCCACTTTAGTCTCACAACCACTTTCAGTACTTTTTGAGTTACTTCTTTTATCCTTTCGTTTGGAAAAAAACAACAAAGGCTGCAGCTCAACATTACCAGTGCAACTTTTAAACAGGGACTTCGTTTAAACCTCTGTTTGATATTCGATTCTTAATGAGAGTTCCTGAATACATTTTTAAATCTAATGCTACTTTGTTTTATCTACTTAATCGTAGCAAGAAACTTGTGATATACGAGCCTCTGAGCATCTAGTTCATATGTAGTAAATTTAAGTGGTTTAGTACATATCTTCGTCATTTTCTTGGGAAAACTACGGTCTCGGGTCCTCTTATAACTTATTCTAACCACCATGAGTTGTCGAGGCAGCTGGCGGATGGACACGCGTTACACATCCTAACCGTACCTGCGTCTAATCTCATGGCTCCTTATTCAAATGCCATATGATAAGCAACCAATGCCCTTACCCGCACTAATGGACAACTAGTAACTCAAAGGCACCCTGTTTGGTACCTTACATTGGTCTACGCACACGTATAGGTCTTTAGTGAGAATATTACTAAAGTCCTGCTAAAAATCCCATGAAACCCCTGATCTCCATCAAAGCAAATAAGTCTGTATTTGCTGCATATAGCAATTTTATTTTACAGAACTAAGATATAACAGTTAGAATTGGAATAAAATGGCAGTATACAGCAGATGCACGTGGTACATGTCTTCATCGATTAACTGAAATATAGAGTACGGATATTAGCTTAGCAGGCCTTTTAGAAAGACTAGTGTCTACTGCTCTTCTGCAGGCAAGTAAAAGCTCAGACAATTAGCTATTCTGCTACAGCTGTTATTGCTGGGGAAATGTTTTAGTGACAGTGGTCTTGAAACATGAACAGTGTTAGACGTAATGTCTATAAATAAACACCAAACGTACTTAAAGCTATCTTATAATATATGACAGCAACAGCATCAAAGGCACTTTTTTTCCTATTTTTAATCTGACTGATTTGAATCAGTATACTCACTAAAACCAGGCAGCTCTACTTACTAAATTGATCCGTTTCGTTACAGGCTTTAAGCACTATACATAAGTATACTATAATTCTATCGACTAATCTAAATTATAAAGGCAACCAAGAACACTAAACTGAGTAAATATTATAATTATTGTTCCAATTGCACAAACATGTTGCTAAACGGAGTAAAATGAACAAAGTTCAGCCGATAAAACCAAAACACGAAATATAGGCCATTTGAACTTACCTAACAGAAGACAAAGGATATATATATTGCTTTCACGCTGAAGACATCAGTCATGAAGACATAGTTTACAGTACAACAAACACTTCTTCAGCAACATCATGCACTGACAGTCTATCTGGAAACATTCAACTATGTGATTAAACTAACTATAACTTAAGATATCATTCCAGCGTGCAATGAACACACAGTATAACGCAGCATGACGTGGCGAATGAAAATTAAAAATAAAGCAAAATAACAACAACAAAATATAGTTATTTAATTAAAAATACATTATGAAATGACAAATTCTGTGGTTACTTGAACGCACAGATGACTGTTATTACACTGGGAGATACATTAAGTTTACATGGTTGCGTTGCGGATTAATTCACCCCTTACAGAGCTACTTATTTTGGGGATTTATTTAACTCTAGTGCATACCTGACTAATCGAAGGGTATTATTCAAATGAAAGTAAAACTAACAGGTTAGCTACGTGTCTGTTTAATTTTTAAACTTCAACAGCAAACTGGGTAGCTCGTCAATCTCATATATTAACATCCGTTCGATTGACGAAACCTGATAATGAACATTAACTAATTATTGTAGGTAAGAGATTCGCGTTGAACGCACGTACAAATGAATGAATATTGAAACGCGACCTCCTTAAGTCTTGGACATTGAACACGACAGTATACGACCTTATGTGTTGAGAATTTAAATACGTTACTTAATACTGCGCACTTCATTCAGACTATAGCTTCGTCATAATGAAAATTCACCATAGTAAACAGATGCGCCCACCTGGTCTGTGGGGATGATTTTTGGAATCTTGACAGTTTTCGGTATTATTTCCTTCACAATAACCAGTAAGTTATTTTAATTCTTTAAGTGCTGTATTATTGCTACGATTTACAACATAAGTAGAGGAGTGGATTTATTGTTCTCCTAGACTAGTCCATGAACTTGTATAGGCCTTTGTCTGATACCTGCATGCTAAAGGCGTAGTGTCAAATTTGTTTCGTCTGTTTTTCTCTTGTCCAAGTTTACTGTTTAGTATCTTTCTTGCTCATAGCGTGCCAACTCGAGGAACCTTGAGTTATTTCGACTCTTCGCACTTAAGGGACTACGATCATACGTTAGTTGGAATGAAGGCCAACTGAACAATCATTCAGAAAAATACATACAACTAATTAACATCAGTGTACGTTCCAATATCTTATTTAGGACTCTAAAATATTTGGCTGGCTGTTGTTTGGTCTACTGACTTGAGCTAACTATTTGACCATCTAAAGTAGCTGAAGATCTTAAAATACTGTGGTTTTTGAAGCGAAAGACGACCTAATCACTATTTTTCTCAAATGTTCGATTCAGATAGCATATGTATGACGTCTTTTGACTCTGCATAGAATAAAATTACACAATCTTTTGTGTATACCGGTACATTCGAATAAACCGCGTTGACTGTAGTTTTTGACAGACCGGTTGATCTATTAAGATGGGTAAGCTTATATATTATCAACTCCTTTGTATGAGTTCAAAAACTGATAAACACGGGTGATTATTTTGTTTCATTCAAATAGGAAGTTTTATTTGAGTTACTTAACAAGGATAAGAAATATTGACAGTTCTGTTCCGGTTAATTGCCACCCAAAACTTTAGTTAGGTTGATTTTCAGACTTATACGAGAGCTTCTTCCTTTACTGTTATGTTAAGTAGACTATATTCTTAAATCTATTATATTTTGTGTATATTTTGCATGTCGACAGCATCATAAATTGGTAAGCTGAACGCGTAATCAATGAGTGCACGTTTTTTATACGGCCGAAGTTTAAGTAGGCAGTTTACAGTGGTTCGATGTTAAGTATGAAGCGTTAGAAGATGTATTTCAAATCGCTTCTCAAACGAATACTAGTCTTTTCCTTTCATGTCCAGGCTCCAAAACCAATCTCTTTGCGGTTTGCTGCCCAACTTAAAAATTGATTTGAGGTTTTATTATAGACATGCAATTGTGTTACGGGATCACGAGACAGGACTTAGTGTCTAGAAACATTTACAGAATTAAAACTCACCGAGGAATGAGTTTCTTGATTTTAAAAGAGTGTTTGCCCCATTTAGTGGATTCTGAACTGGTTTATTATTGCACTCAGCGGCTTATGTGTATTGTAGAAGCTTTTGTTTGGTGGGATGAATCTTTAATTCCGTCTGAGTATCTTAACATGAATAGAATTTTATTCATATTGTCTTGTATTTGCCTGTATATAATCCGAAACCAAAAATGCCATTAAGATCAAAATTGTATACTTTGCTTACTTAATTACTTACGCCTGTTACTCCTCGTTGAGGAGCATAGGCCGCCCACCGACACTCACCATCCAACCCTGTTCCGGGCAATCCTTTCTGGTTGTTATTCGTCCTTTTCATATCTGCCTCTATTTTCCGACGTAAAGTGTTCTTTGGTCTTCCTCTTTTCCGCTTCCCTCCAGGATTCCAAGTTGGGGCTTGCCTCGCGATGCAGTTTGATGATTTGCGTAATGTATGTCCTATCCATTTCCATCGTCCTTTCCTAATTTCCTCTTTGGCTGGAAGCTGGTTTGTTCTCTCTCACAGACAACTATTTATAAATACTCGTACCTTCTTGATGATGGTTGTAGTAGTTCTACAAGTTCCAGCTCCGTACAGTAGAACTGTCTTGACGCTCGTATTGAAGATTCTGACTTTGATATTGGTTGAAAGTCCACCTGTAGCTCTCCCAGAGTTACTGCCGGTCCCAAGCTCGCGTAAAGAAGGAGGGTTGGGCATGGAGTTAGCGACCCCATCCCGTAGAAAACTAACTCGCTATAAAAACGCCAACCGGAAAAAATAATTCAAAAATTGTATAGTTGCTCATACATTTGTAGGTTTAGAACTAAGGGCGATTTCAATATTTACTGGTAATTTGAAGAAGTATGTTTTGGCATTAGGTCATCTGTGAATGATCAATAGTAATGTAATTACCATAATATTACTAGACGACCTTTCACACAGAAGGAGGCCTAATTCTAATGTAATGATCAAGTAAAATAGTTTATCGTGAATAAATTGATCACACGTTGTACATAAAACGAGTACAAGAAAACATTTGTCGTTTAATAGCCAATTTGGTGTATTGACTCATTAGTAGAATTGACTGAAAATGTTTCAACTGGTAGTTAGGTAACCTCGTCAGATGTCTTTGTCTTTTTATCATTTTTTTGTAACTATTCCTGGACGTTATGACGAATGAACCTGACTTATACACTAAACTAGTCTTGTGGTGAAAGTTGTTACCACTTTCGGTTTGTTATTAATCTGCCAATCTTCAAAATTCGTAAATTTGGGCAAATATTGTATTTTTGACGAGAGACTTAGGTTTGATTAACCTTTTGATAATCATCTTCCTCCAGTTGAATGAGGTCAGGAATCTTGTGTTAAATTTTGTTTTAAACAACATCATCGTTGATCATTTACCGTGACTAAAATAATTTAAAATGTCTTAAACTTAGTGTGTTTGGTCTTTTTTGGATATGTTTTTTGCCTTTTATTTAAAGTACACTTGTTGTATTTTTCTCTTTTCTCGATGTTCAGGAGCATGGTTTTTTTACTTAGTTGTTTTTTATATTTCCAACCTAGCAGTTTTTGATCAGTAATTTTCTAAGGAATTAGTGCTTTTTTATATCAAACGAATATACTTGTCTTTTCTTTTTGCTTAACTCAATGTACATTTTGTCCGTTTTCGATATCCATAATCACATGTTTCGTTTTTACCTTGCTTTATGCTTAGTGATTACTTAAGTTTGCACTCAAAGCTTTTATTTTTATATTTTGCTAAATGGTTTAATGACAAAACTATAGAAACGGTCGTACCTCTTTACTACATTTGTCGGTTTACTAGATATTAGCAGCAAACTTTCACAGTGTTTTTAGGATAATCATGTTTTTCAAACGACTCAAAGGACAACCACGTTTATCACTTGTTTCTTCATTGGTGTGTTAGTTTCATTGATAATAAATTAAGACAAATTTTGGATCATTACTTTGACATTATGTAGAACAGAGCCTAAACGTTTTAGTCAAGCAGAGTTTTTAGAGATTGCGACCGGCCCTGATGGCCATTTACTTTATATATAGCCATATTTTCTGCATCACGTTTTCGGGTAGGAAAAAATAGAATTTAGAAAACAAAAGGCTTATTTGACATTCAATATAATATACTTCAATGAACAAATATCTGCTTCAATTCTTGTTTATCCTTGGATTGCTATGTAATGAACTTACTCTTTGAATTGTGATTATGTGTAATGTAATCAAAATTTGTATGCGGTTTTGATAGTTTAATTCTTGGTTGAATGTGAGCTTATTCACTTTCTTGTAGTGACTAGTTAATCCCCATTGTTTTCTTTTGACCTACACGTTCATCTTTAAGAACTGAGATACACAACAATCAAAATAACAATGCGGTTTTTTATAATGAATTCCTAAACTTTACACAAATCAACGATTTTTAAGTTTAGTTTATCGTGACTAATATAATTTAAAATATCTCATACTTAGTGTGTTCTTTTCCTATTTAAGCTGCCTATCTTATTTTTTTTCTGTGTTGTTTCTTGAATTCTTTTTTGTTGTTGATCTTTTGTTATATGTGATTTTTTGGTACTTGTTTGCTGTTTGTTTCTGTTATTCCAAGCTTTTTGTTTGATTTCATTGATATACTGCCGTCATACTTCTATTATGGCAATTTTTCTTATCGTCTCTTATTAGGGATTTTTCAGATTTCTTGTTTTTTTATTTATTAGTCGGGTTTTACCGTTGAAGAGATTTTATATGTTTTCTTCTAACGCGAATTCTTATTTCTATTAATTGTATGGCATAGCGCTTTCAACATCAAATTACTTTCTACAGACCAATATTTTCTCGAAAGCTTTAATAATTTCGTTAGTTTCTCACAGAAGTGTTTGTGTATAGTCCAAATTCGAACCATTATTATTAGATCTTCAATGTTATGCATTACGTTTAATTTGGCACAACACATTTTGTGTGATGTTTAATCAAGCAAATCGCTGTTCCGCGTTTTCTGAGTTTAATTGTTAATTTCAATACTCTGTTTATTCACTAAACAGAAGTTAGTTCAGGAAATAATTAAAAAATATTTTTTAACATGCTTAATATACTGAACTTCAAGTTGAACGTGAAACCTACGTGACTTGACGGTGATCATTATCTATATACTTGGATTGTGACTCGCAATAAAGTCGTATTAGTATTTAAGTGAAACGTTTTGACAAAAACGGCACCTTAACCCTTTGGTAATCATTTCTTTGGTTACTCAAAAACGTGTGCTATGTTTCTAGTCATATTCTTTGGTGTCTGTTTTTAATGCTCGATCAAACTTATGCTTAGTGATTTGTAAAAGTCTAAATATTACTTGTTGTTTTTCTGTAGTCCATTTTTGTCGTCTATTGTTAATGTTTCTTTTAACAGTAGTTTTAGAGTTAAAACCAATGCATAAAACAGTAAATGTTGTTTAAAAGTATATGCCATTTTTTGATTGTTGAAATTTAGAAACATTCGCTGAACAATTATTCAGTCACTTAATAAATGCCACAGGAGACAACTTGAGAAATTAATGTTATTGGATTTCTGTAAGGCCAAAAATTATGTGATGTCAGTAAGTAGAAAGGACTAAGTTTAATATTTGCTTAACTGAACGATAAAGCCAGTTCTTTCAACGTCTTTGGTGTAAGCTTCTGGGAAATTGTATTTCCTGAGAAATATTTCAAGCACCCTTCATCAAAATGGTTTGATCTATTTTTGTCAACTCTTCCGTCAATAAATTTACCAGATATAACAACTTTCTGTTTTCTGAGTAGTATCTTAACAATGATAGTTTATTCTGAGTGTGGAAACGTTTATTAACGCGCAACAACTTCCTTTTTTCCCGTCAATGATCTCACTAATTGCGCCATAAGTCAATAATTAAATAGTATACTAACTTCCAGCTTCAGCACCACCCTCCTATTTAGATATTTTTCTTTGGAAAGATCGAGTGATTTTAACCTGTATAAATGAAATGTAGCTATGTGTTTATGGTGAGCGTTAAAAATTTTGGGAAAACATATTCTTGTAGTGGTTTCATGGTCACATGTTCATTCTATCCATTTGGGGGATTAATAAACAGAAGGCAAGTGCTTAATCTATGGATAATTGTCAAACGTTCTAAGTGCCTAGGGTAACAGAAAATTACTCTTTGAGGATTATCTATGATTCACCAGTTTTTTCTGATTCTAAGTTTTCAAATTCTGAAGAAATAAAACTTCAAAGAGTCCCTTTTCATTTTTAAAGATAGTAAATTATACATAGAAAATATCACTTCATAATGAGTGATATGATTAACAGAAATAAGAGCATTATTCTAAACTTTTTTTCAAAATTAGTCCTCTAAATGAAGTACATGTAAGAAATATTCCTCGAGTTCATTTAATTGTGTCCTCTTTCTCAACAACCTTATATTTATAAGAGATAAAAATGTCAGCACTATTAACTCGAAAATTCAATAACCAATCAATTATTTTTTTTCTAAATGTTTTAAGAGTCACTTGATGCTCTGTGGCAAGAAAGTTCATGGGATTCTACCTGGGATACATGGTGGCATTACAAAGAAGGTGTAATAGGAGGTATTTTATCATATGTCCAAGAATTTTGTCTAATTAATGATTTTTTTAGCTGTATATATATAGTGCCTAAGATCTAACTACCAAAAGTATCCTCGAAGTTTTAGCGCCTTACTTACACTTATGGATACAATTCTTACACAGGTTAATGTTTTATTAACCAGCTATCTATTTATATAACGTCAGTTTACCGTGACAATAGACAACCCCTATACTGATAATCAACATGCGCTCACTAGTGACTAACTTCCTGAGGGAATTCTCAGAGTTCCAGTGAGAAGCCATGACCGGTGGAGCTAGTCCATGTCGGGTAGAGACAGGTATCTACTTCAGTACAATGCAAGATGGTCGTGCAATTTTGTGTATTGGTTGGTGTTAGACACTAACACCATTAGATACTGGCTCATTGGTCTAGATTTTAAGCGTTCGCGCGCGATACTGAAGGCCCTGGGTTGAAATCCTGCGAGAGGGCTCGTGGATGCGCACTGCTTCGGAGGCCCACAATGGGACAAAACGACCGTATAGTGTTTCCAGGTTTTCCATGACGGCCTAGCATCAACTGACTTATGAACTTAACTTTTCAATTTTAATTGTATCGATAACATCTGTACGTTAAGCGGATTCATGGCTTTTCTAATTTTTTCATAATAATAATGATTATGAATCAAAAAGGTAACTAATTTTATTTAATTTGTGCATTCTAAGTGGAAATCGTATTAATAAGTTGAGACAGAATAATAATTTAAGCAAAATGAATAACTGTTAACAGGTAAATGATACTGAAAAAATACAAATTACATAACTTGTTATAGCATCTGATAAGCTAGAATTTTTTCAACCTAAATTTATAATCAAATGATTATTTTTAAATAAACCAAGCCATCACTGCTATCTCATTAATTAATTAATTAAAGTTGGTTCAATGGGACATCGAAGTATATATGCGCCACACAATGATAATCAGGTTGTAAAGTGATAGAGGAAGGAAAGTAAGTGCTTCCAGGTTTCCAACAGTGGTTCATGATCTTAATCAAGAACTTAGTAATCCCCACAACCCCTATGCTGATAATAATAATAATGATATGATAACCGAAATTGAGGTTTGCTTATTCTTGCACTTAACACAATGAAAAATGAATTTACACTTAACGGCGTCAAAACGTTATAAATGAGGACTTGTACATTAATTTCGATATCTGAATTTGACTAACCTGATTACTAATTATTCAACTCGGATGCTTTTTTCATCGTGATATTATGAGAGTGCTGTTAAGCCAATGAGCACAATGTTTTTATGGTTTTTGATTGAATCGGTTAGATTTGCTAAGGAGAGAAACTTACCCTAGGGTAATATGTGTTCGTCTTGAGACTGCTGTTCAACAAACATAGTTACAAAGCACAATATTGATGCGAGGCAAAGTTTGAAACGTTGTGCGCATTTACAGCATACAGATTTGAAACGAATTCATTGTGGCAGACGAACAAATAGAAATAGTATTAAGAGTCTTACGGTATTGAACCGAAAATGGCAACAAAACCATTGCAAATTATATACTCAGGATCTGCTATCGCAGTTGCTTATAACGAACTCAGTCATTATTTATGAAAAAATTCCGTCGACTGCAAACATAACGTGACCAAAGTTAACTTGTGCCGAATGCTTACACTTGATGGTATGTTGATCCGATTTCTTTGAAAAGAAATGATATTTTCAAAAGGGGTTTTGTGTAGATTTTTAGACATTTTAATAGTTAAAATCATGAGCCAATTGAAGCTAGACCACCATGGAAAACCTGGAAGCACTTGGCGGCCGTTTCGTCCTCGTATGGGACTACTCAGCAGTGCGCATCCACGATCCTGCCTCCCGCGACATTCGAACCCAGGACCTATCAGTCTTCGAGAGGCATTTACTGGGGTTCTATTGAGAAGCCGTTGCCAGTGGAGTTCAACCAGGTCTGTTGTGAGACATCAACTAACTGAAGACAATGGTGTACGGTGGCGCAATTTCGGGGATTGGTTGAAATTAGACATTAACAACGTTGGATGTCAGCCGGCTCAGTGGTCTAATGGTTAAGCGTTCATGCGCGAGACTGATGGGTCCAGGGTTCGAATGTCGCAGGAGGCGGGATCGTGGATGCGTACTTCTGAGGAGTCCCATACTAGGACGAAACGGCCGTTCAGTGCTTCCAGGTTTTCCATGGTGGTGTAGTTTCAATTTACTCGTGATTTCAACTATTGAAACGATATTTATCAAAAAAATGAAAGGCACTTTTCAAAATCGTACTTTGGAAAACATTTCATATTCGACTATATGTGTTATCAAGGTTTATTTGAGCAAAATGTATTCAGTGGTTGATAGGAGACAAAAAGCAAAACGTTCCTTGTAAACCAACAAGCTGGTCAATGGGAGAAATCGCCCTTTACCAAATCTTCCACTTATGCATGTGAACTAACACATTATTTATGTAATATCTACGGTAACAGAGGACTAAACTAAAGCTTAGAAAGCTTCTGTAACACCATATGATTTTATAAGGTATTACTTGTCCATTTTCTGAAATTCTCGACTAAATATTGATCAGTCTTAGTCGGCCTATGTACATCCTGTGCTGGTTGCAGCAGTTTAGTCATTCTGTCATACTTTTGCGCATCGGATTTGGATTTTATTTAATTTGTAAGGTTTTCTCGACCAAGAAGCCTGGTGGATAACACGTTGGGCATTTGAAGCGAGAGATCCTGTTTTCGAGTCCCTGCATGAAAGTCAACAGTAGGATGCAGATATACCAAGATGACTAATCACAAATGCAACAAAAAGCATTTCTAAAGCAGTGGCAGGTAGAACGCTGTAACATTCACGAACCTGCTGCTTCTGCTTAGAATCGAGAACCGTTGTAATTCCAACGAAGGAAAACGATAACACAAGACCAATAATGAAGTTTGATTGACTTTCTGAAAACAGAATTGCACTGAACCACGCACATACATTTAATCACTGACTTTAAACATCCTTGGTGCTTAGTTAATAAACATCATACAAATGAACGGCTACACAGGTTTACTGTAAAACAAATTCGAAATTTGCATAGGATAACACAGAGAATATGGCTGTCACGTTAAACGAAATTTTACACCTGTCATACTAAACAAAATTCACACCTAATTATTTAGAAACATATTGATCTGAGACAATGATACACTATAAGAAATAAACCCATTATTGTTCCGACTAAAATATTACATTGAGCATAAAACCGAAGTCAAATGTCATACCTGAAATAAATAAATATTTCTCTGAATAAAGAACTACCACAACCATCATCAAAAAGGTACAAGTATCTATAATCAATTGTCTACGTAAGATACTCAATAGCTGTTGGCTGGATGCGATCAGCAACAGCCTACTGTGGGAAAGAACAAACCAACTTCCAGCTGAGAAGGAAATTAGGGAAAGACACTGGGAGTGGATAGGACATAGTGGAGAAATCATCAAACAGCATCACGAGGCAAGCACTAACTTAGAATCCTGAAGGGAAGCGAAAAAGAGGGATGTCAAAGAATAAACTTTGTGGAGAATCAGGAGCAGACATAAAAAGGATGAATAGCGGCTGGAAAGAAGTGGAAAGTTTTGTCGAGTACAGAGTTGGGTGGAGAAAGCTGGTGAGCGGTCCATGCTCCTCGACGAGAGGTAACAGGCGTAAATAAGTAAGTACGTCGAAGAAAGTGCTACTTTGGAAATAAAAAACGTTGAACTGCTATATTATGATCAAAACTACTGTCCTGAAACGTTACGCTGATTTAGAGAAAATTATTAAAGTTGCCTACCTGTCCCAATTTATTGAAAGGTCAAAGCAAATTTACGTGCGATACGAGAATTATTTTTTAGCAATCCCATGGTAAATCGATAAACTGACTTAATTTTCCCCGAATATTATTACTTACATTTTAGCATACTTCACTCAGATAACCGTTATTTTATCCACCGTAATATTAAATTTCCATACATCCGTGAATTTTACTTACTCACTCCTTAAAAATTAAGTAAATTTTTTAAGATCTATAATTACTACTCAATTTGTCTTTTGTATTAATAGTCTTCCGGGCTTTATATTTTCTATATTTTCCCTCAAATGACTTTGCAAATGCATGTATATATGCGATACTGACAATCAACTGTTATTTTAGTTTTTCAACAACCAATGATTACTACTTGAAACTATGTTTTATTTCAGTATAAATACGTTTGTGGCAAGACGATGAAAACAACTTCATAAAAATGAACTCCTATAAATCTGCTTCCACTATCATTTTTGGTTTTTTAAAATTCATGAAGTAAATATATCTTATAAAACTGTCATATTTAGCCGATATTTACAAACAGTTGCAATGTCTGTAATCATTTATTAATATTCTTTTTCTCTTCTCATCAAGGTCCAAGTAACTGGGGGCAGACGGCGCTCATGGCTATTACCAGTGACATTTGGTCAGTTTGCTATCAAGGAAAAATGCAATCACCAATCAATATCTCTACAAAGCATTTAGTATTTGATACTAATTTGGAACCTATAAAAATACTAGGCTTAGATAAACAGGTAAGTGCTCAGTCCCAAATACGTAGTATTTTAATGTTCTGTAGCCGACTTAAAATATAATGGTTAATTTGGAGTAATTGGGCTTTACCTTTTTTGTATTCTTATTAAAACATGTTTATTATTTTATTGCTGTATATACTTGTAATCATTAGTTATAAGGATGAATAAGATACAAAATTTTAAAGTTTAACAGTCATGTTACTTTATAACAAAGTGTTAAGTTTTGTTTCGCATTTCAAACGATTCTGACATTAGGCTAGATACAAATCAGGTAACGGTCGGTCAATCACACATTAATATGATGTATAATCCACAATACATTGTTTAGTTAACAGATACTAAAAGTATGCTTGCACGATTCTTTCAGATCGACGTGGAGATAGTGAATACTGGACAAGATTTACAAATGAAATTTCTTGATTCAACAACAATAATTATATTCAGTGCAGGACCATTGGTATATGACTACAAGCTATTTGGTGCTATTATAAAATTTGGTTCAAGATCAAGTCGTGGTTCAGATCATCAAATTGACGGTATTGCGTTTCCGGCGGAGGTAGAAATTTTGACACTATTAGATAAAATTTTTAATTGTGTGTGAATCGCAATTAATTTCATAGATTAAGATGTCTCTAATGATTCATTTAATACACTAAATGAAACAGATGTTTAGTGCTTTAAAAATATGTATGAACTATACCTAGTGACTGAATAGCAACTATTATTTGAATATGATAACACTGTAGTTCACGTTCGCTTTTAACGAAAATAGGAGAAATGTAACTAAGATCGCTTGTGATGCATTCGAAATATCATAATCTATCAAATCTCATCAGGAAAGCTGTGAATTCTTTTGCAACTATGTATTCTGTGCTTCGAATTCTTCATTGTAATTCTAAATATTAAAATAAATCTAGAAAAATGAAAGAACCAGCACCATAAATTCGAAAACATGTTCCCAAGTGTGAATATTCGAAGGGAAATTGATATCAGTCAGGTTCCGAAACCCGGTTTTAAGTAAATGCTGCTCCTCAACTTCCGAATGAGAGACCATCTGTCATTAGCACATTTTTTCAACCAATTTTAGTTGTTTATACTCTTATTTGTCCAAAATAATAATGGTTGTAATTCATATGCCGTAAAATCTATCTACATAATTGTATGAATGAAATAATTTCAAGTATATGTCGTCTAACCTCTCCTTCTGTAAGTTACTCTTGCAATACACTTGATTAAATTTTAGTAAGTTATTATTTTATTAGTAAAAGTTAACTGATTTAAACAAAGTAGAGAAGAACCCACTATGAAGAATGATTTGTATACTTTATGATTAGTTAGAACACAATCATGACGTAGACTACCGCTTTGCTGCTTCTGAAAACAAAAGTGACTGATGATGACAACTACAATATTGGAGAAATGATAAAAGTTGATTGACGCCTATTAAAATATTCATTTTGCAAGTATTACAAGAGAAAAAGAAACAATAATGTATTGATAAGCGTGACAGTTGAAAAATAGGGCAATATAGGTTAGCAGGTAGTTTAAAACAATTTATTGGCCTACATTGAATCATACATTCATACCTTCAGCTTCTTATTTCTAAACGAATTTTAAAATGCTTGCACTGATTAATGACCGTTATGCCAAAACAAAGATGGTTAAGTTATCATTTAATAAAAAAGTTGATATTTTATCACAATGGCGATTCATTTTGATGAAATTTAACCATTACACCAAAACCAGTGATTTCTTACGTCATGTTCAATTACAATATTCTTACTGTTTTGATATCACCAACACTTTTCCCACATAATTCTAATTTGTTGATCAACTGAGAATTAATGTGATAATATTTTCACATTCTATTACACAATTTGGTCAAATATTCTATACCACTGAAAGTTTGTAGAACAGTACTTTTTTACAGATACTTATTAATTGTTATGCATAGATTGAAAGTAAAAAAAATATATTTCGTATGAAATGATTTCATAAACACTATGGGAAAAACTGAAAGCGTCTTGATTTTCCTATGGGATAAATATAGTGTCTCGTCGAAATAATTGACATTTATTCTCCTCAGACGTATACTTCTGAGTTCATTATTTATGAAACCTGATATTTTACATGGATTTCAATACTAAAAATATTTGTAACAAGAACGATCTAGTTACACTTGAAATACCGTGCATCTTAATACATGGAGTGAGTGTACCACTTTTTGAATAAAGGTGGACAGATGTAATTTGCCGCTAATATAGTATGATCCTTAAGTAGCACAGAATTTATGAGACTTCTATTATGTAATTACGTCTTATATAATGAGTCCTTCCGTTGAATTTTGTGATTATTTCAGTACGAGCTAATTTATTAAAAATAGAAAAAATGTGACATTTATTATGCCAAGAATACATTGTTTTTTTGTATTGACAGCTACAATTATATGCATTCAATTACATTTTATATCCAAATTTTTCTGTTGCACTATCTAAACCGAATGGGTTGGCTGTATTATCTATCTTCTGTCAAGTAAGTGATTCTTGCACATTATGAATTATTTTTATTGAAATGACTGTTGTACTATACCAAAATTTGCTGAATTAGCAGCGCACTGATATGTCTAATAACTCCTTAGTTCGTTTGAATAATAATAGAAAATGTTATTTAATCCCATTTACTCAACATCAACTTGTTTAGTTATGGGTTACTTTTTTAAAAAAAATGCAAAAACCAAATACCAAGTATAAATACAAGAAAATTTATTCACAGAATTTTCACGCATTTCAATTGTTATTCTTACTTGTTGAAAAATATTTTACTTGTCCACTAGTGAAGCATAAATAATAGTTCTTAGATTTAATAACGGTATAAATTAATGTATCAAAATTTAGTTGATGCATACAATGGATTTAAATCTGTCTCATTTTGCTTGATTAAACGGTATAATTCCTTATATTTTCTATTGAGAAAAGTGAAATCATTATAATTTCAAGTTTTTCACGACAGACGTTGTTTATTATTTAGACTAAAACACTGACGAATTTGCAATTTATGTTTTAGGGATGCTTCGTTAAGTGTTCTAATAGAAAAGAGTTATGTGCACGAAATCTTGGCAAAAAATCAATTTAATAATAGTATAGTTATATTTATTTTACTGTCAGTAGTATAAAATATGATTTGCCGACTGGTTTTTATTTTATACAAACAATTAACTTAAAATCTATGTCAAAAAATGACTTCCGATAATTATTATCGTTAGCACAACAATGATGAGAAAAAAGTCAGCTCTTTTTATTACGGTGGTCAATTATTCGAGTGTTTTGTAAACGTTTACATTAGGAAGAACAAGTTTTGAATGACATATATATCTTTTTGACGTTGCTATTTAGAACATTTAGTCTCTTTGATAAATTTTGATAATGCAATGAGAAAACGAAGTTTATCAGAATTAGGTGATATATTTTCGCAATACATTTCGAACGATCTGTGTGTGCGGTAACACGTACATAGTGAAGAGCAATCGTAATTTCCAATTAAGGGTGGGTGAACACATATCAAAATGGCTGCAGAAACAGATGAATTCCGATGGTCAAATAAGATCAAATGATAGACAGACGTCTTCCCCAATTGCGAAACATGTGATGGAGACTGATCATAACATTGATATCAAGTCAGCATTTGTAGTATTGTACAAAAGAATTCAAGGACGTATACTAAGATTTATTGAAGCGTTGGCTATACGGAAACCGAAACCCTCTTTGTGCGTTCAAAATAATTTGTCCTTACACTTAACATGCCCTGGTAATACTGATTTATTATTTAGAGTGGTTATCCCATTTTTTTTCTGTAATTTATTATTTTTTAGTTTGTTACGACTTATGTTTCACCTGTCTAGTTGACCTTTTAATTTTCATATAAAAATGTTCTTAACAAGTATATGTGTAATCAGATTGTTTGAAATGTATTGCGTAAAAATATCACATAATTCTGATAAACTTCGTCTTCTCATTGCATTATCGAAATTAGTCAGCTATGTATCGAGGATTACACAATCAAACAACAATTTCGAATAATTTAACAGTAAGGCTATGTATCCAAAAACGAGCAGACTCGGACGAATATACATGGATTTTGACTAAACTGGACAATAATATCTTCTAGAAACAACAAACTTGTGAATCGATAATGGTTCAATTTCATGCAATTTTATTTATAAAGTCGAGCGCTCATTGAAAATAAAGTTAAGAATATTTACTGTAAGGTGATCAATCACATTCATCACGAAACAATCATGCAAAAGATCAAAATGTTATGTAGGTGTAAATAACATAATTGGTGATGAGTAAATCATAAGATATGAACGATGAGTGTGCACTTGAGAATTGGGGATGGTAGAAATCATAAAGGAGTTATAAGAAAAAGTATGTAGTGTATAGTTTATATACGTTCCGTCCTTAATCGTGTATCCATCACTTTTAATAAGCATGGTTCTCTTAATATCAAGTAATCTATTTTGATCAATACAATGTTTCCATATTATGTAATACCTTTACGGAGTTTCGTCATATTGATTAAAACCATATAATGAGTATTCCCAGTATGGGGCTTGTGGAGATTATTGAATTTTTGATTGAGATCATGAACCTAACACTAACAACATTGGATGCCAGCCCGATGGTTCAGTAGGTTAAGCGTTCGCGCGCTAGACTGAAGGCCCTGAGTTCGAATCCCGCGAGCGGGCTCGTGGATGCCCACTGCTGAGGAGTCTCACAATAGAACAAAACAGCCGTCCAGTGCTTCCAGGTTTTCAATGGTGGTCTAACATCAGTCGGTTCATGATCTCAGTCAATAATTAGTTTATTATTAATATTATCAAAGTAACTATTCATAAACTCTGTAGGTCGGTATTCAGTCGTCAGCTGATTTGGAAGCTATATTTTCTATAGCAGATCATGTGCAGTTGAAAGGTATGTCATTACAGACAGCATTGTCTATTATTTATTGTTTATATATTGACGTAATAACAATAAATTATTACTTCTTTAAAATTATAGTTTTACTTTTTATTAGAGAAAGACAGATTTTAATTCATAACTTTCACATTCTTGATTAAGATTTAAAATGAGTTATTTTGTCGTGAAATTATGAAACACGCTATCATCATCAAATGATTGACAAACCAACTATTGTTAGTGATATTCTTATGTTGTATGAAAAAACAAACACCTATGTATTTTCTAATCATTCAATTGTTATAAGAATTTATATTACAAACAATATACAGGTATATAAAGCATTCATGAATGTATGGATAAACAAAACTAAATACAAGGGTAATGTTTCATGGGTAAATAAAAATATGTTACTGATCTCTCACAATAAAACCAACTTTAGATGATTTCATATGGAATTAATGAAATGAAATGAACAATAGACTACTAGATACGTACCATTCAATTGCCCGCTTTATATCTTTGTAACTAGTTACGAAAAGAAAATTAATTTAAAAAATGAATTATTTTTTAAACTGAAACTATGAGTACTTTGTGATATTATGGTGATGAACTATTATTGTCAACGAAATTTTTTGGAAAGAATTGGATGCAAGAAATCTTTTGATCTGGTTTCTTTTGTGTTTAGTGAAAGGCGATCTAGTAAACTTTAGAGAAAGCTTTATCGTAGTCGGTCAACAGAGTTATTAAGTAAAATATGTGTAACTTCGTTTCTTCTTAGATAATATATGGGAACTTTATTTAAATATTGACAGTGAATGAAGCTATTCTAATGTTAGGTTGAATGGAATTCGAACATGGCTATAAATTAATACTAAAATCTGTTAACTACAAACAAAAGTAACACACAATATCTTTGAAGAGAAACTAAATAAATTCTAGTGATGAAAATCCTTTTTACTACAACCAATTAGTAATGGTTAATGTACGAATTTTCGTAGCTTAGTTCTGTCAAACAGGAAAAGTAAACCTGGACTTCAACATACAACACCTCCGGTTTTAAAAAAACTCTTCCCATGAACAATGAGTTTGAAGGACATACTGTTGTAGAAGTTCTGAAAATTTGTAGAACGGAATCTTTAGGAAAACTATTTTTATGGCTATCAGTCATTCGTGGATATATCAGAGATAAACTCCTGAGTTGTGCCTCATCAATGTGAATCTATACGTTCACTTGATTTTGTGAGGCGGGTTGAGGCAGTCAAACAAGCGAAGTCTTTCCGGATTTATTCTTCGAAATCGTCCATAGAACCAAATGATTACGTTTGAATGCAGAGCCAATTAATAAGATATGCACTGGAGAGGAGTTAGTAAATCATTTTCTCTAGCTTGAACGCTGTGTGTGAAAGCGACACCTGTAAGGTGGGCCTAACGCCTAATTTTCACAGATGGCAAATTGTTACTAATACGTTCTTCTAATGTTCCTTTTTTTACAAGTCATTACTATCGTGTTCTCCTTTTTTCGCTCACTATTGTCACATTCGTTTAGTGGATAGTTGTCTTTCATGCATTTGGTTCTCTTTTATCATTTTCCCCTAAATTACCGAATGTTACGTGACTTTCCGAAATTATATAATCGCTCTTCTTTTTTTCAATGGACCACTTTATTTGTCCATCGGTTATAAATATCACTGTACAAATCATTTAAATGATTTTATTGAAGACGTTTTTTTAGGTATAGCTTTACTCTTATCAGACATCTAGAACAGTTTAACTGTCATTAACGCATCTTGCAAAACAATTAAAATTTATAGCCTTAGGTTCATTTATTTAGATTTTTATTTGGCTAATAAAGTTCAGTTTCATTTTTTATTTATTTACCCTCTCTTTTGTGTAGGGCAGTTTAAAAAGCTTCAAGGTTTGTTGTTAGAAGGTATAATACCATCAACTGTTCACTATATGACATATCAAGGTTCTTTACCTTTTCCTGCTTGTTATGAAACAGTCACCTGGATTATACTCAATCAACCAGTTATAATCACAGAAACACAGGTAAACATAAATTAACTTTAAAGGGTGGTTTAAATAAAATATTACCATACTGATAAAGTATAATGCTAAAATGGACTTACTAAATACGTGTTAATCGACAAAGTAATTTCTGTTTATTTACTCTTAAGTATATAAATTTTTTTTAAATGAATATTTTAAAGTAACGTAGAAAATACACTAAATAATCACGTTTCTCATTAAGGAATATGTAGATATCAAACAACTCATCGATTAAAATTATCAGGTAAATCTTCATTGATTAAAAGCCAATAGAAATAATCCGACTACTCAAAAATTTGTTAATAAATAAAACGATCATAACCATTGAGTATAGAAAGTATGTTGCCTTCAAGTTGAGTTATCATTAATTATTTTTTACAAAGCTAAGAATTTTATTATGGCTATTCTCTGAAATACTTCACTTCATTGTTTTACTGTTTGTTACTTTTAGCATTACTCTTAATATTTCTTAACTTGTTTAGATTAGTTACTATTAACATTGATTAGGTCATAAATGTGCTTGGGCTAAAATCGGCATATAACATTAGGTTGACAAGATGAAAATAACAAGATAGGTAAGAAATCAAAATAATGTTATGATTATGATCATGAAAATGCGACTGTACATTGTAAAAATATCGTTCAAAAGAACAGTGAGAATTCTATTCCAATGAATTGTTGGAAATCAAGACTGAAAAAAGGATCAAGAGTTAAATATATCAACACCATTGTGAATGATCTTAGGAAAAAGCCCTGTAAGTGTATTTTGAAGCAAATATCGCGCCTGACTTTATTGATTTAATTAATAAATTAACCATTTACAAATTGGCTATCTTCTTTCCACGTAATAGCTTAGATTTAAGAAAGATATTGTTATAATATTATTTACTATTTGAAGAATACTGACAAACAATTTTGAAGTTAAATTAAATCGACGGACCAAGTGGTTCTTCATTGATTTTGTGGTGCATGCTACTTATATTGACATAAGTAGTATATAACGCGAGTCAGGAATGTAATGTCTGGCAGCAGAAGATTGGGAAAATCGAGAAAGGAAGAACGGGAATAGAAAGCAATTAGTATAGAAATGCAAGGACAATGAAGTTCGAGACAATTATTGAACATTTTGCAAATTAGGTATTATAGCATATATATATATATATATGATCTCAACTATTGGAATTACTTCAATCTCCACAAAACCCCTTCTAATTCATAGTTGTTTTGCATGCCGGGAAAGTAACCAAAAAACCTTCAAATAACTCGTATTTTGAACAAGTATCTCATTAGTTTTTTCACATGTAAAAGAAGTAATCATTAGAAATAATTAAAGTATTTCGACTGTGTGTGGTATATTGTAAAACGCATATATGTCTGAATTATTCCAAATGCTATATATATTCACTACCAATGTTTATGTAAAATATATGTAATTAAAAAAGAATAGACATTTATATAACAATGTGCTTTTACATTATTTTTACATTATAGTTAAAATCTCTTCGTCAACTTAGAATTTCTTCATTTCGGGAATCTGGTAGAATGGCTGATAATTATCGAACAATTCAGAAACTTAATAACCGCTCAGTAAGAACAAATATCGACTTTATACAGACTGTAAGTCATATTACTTGTATGACAAAATCAAGTGTTAAATACAGCATATTTATCGAATTCATTTTTTTAACACAGGACAGACTTAGCCACTTCAAATCTCATGTAGAACTGAATTACCACCATTCGTGTGTATATAAAGTAACGCGAGTTCTGGAAATGTAGCCAGAAAAGTAGACCATTAAACCATATTTATTCGGCTTGTTATCACATCTCTTAAGTTATTATCCGATTACACTACTATGCTCTCCATTCGGAATAACTTAAGAAAACTAATTGTTTTTATTGCTTACATTCATTCTATCATATAAGTTACTTCAACAATACTGCTAGCTGTTGTTCTAATTCAAATATTTAGGCATTTGTAAACATCCAAAATATATGTGATGAAACAAATGAAACTACTTGCAGTCCAATCTCCTAATTTAAGTTACGTATTTATAACCATATTTTTGGGGCAATATTACGAAGTCTAAACTTTCACAATGCAAATCATTGTGCACAACTTGTAGGGAAAGGAAAATGACTATTTGAAAGAACCGAAGTAACGTACTGTTAATTCGTTTGGTCAGTATATTAACAATAAATAAACTTAACTTTTAAAATGTTATTAAACATACAGGATATTGTACCAGCAAATTCACTGAGTTCTTATTCGACAAACACAAGTCCACTCTGTTACGTTGTTATATAAACCGGAATTAGATTAAGCATTCTATATGCTCAAATGTGAGTGAAGTCATAATTTGTAATAAATTTTGTACTAACTATTTACATGCATTTTCATCAATGAAAGAGAAATATCTGCATAAACAGAAACGTAGTTGTTAATTTTTTGTATTGTTTCACCAAAACAGATTCTTCTACTCACAACCATTAAACATTAGCTACGAAAACAATTGTACATGTGACTCCATAATCAATTTAGAATTTATAATATCAGATGCAATCGGATAATTTACCTTTAGCTGTATATTGTTTTGTTTAAATGTCGTATTTAAATAATAATAATATTAGTATTGTGCATAAATGACACTTCAACAGTACTTATGTTGATCATGAACAAATTATCCTGTCATTTTAAATATTGGCATAAGGATTCCTAAAATATTAATCAATGTTTTCTATTACCTGAAAATGTTTTGTATGACAAGTAAGCTTTATACTGTCAAATACTCTTGATACACATGATTTCTAATTGAAAATCATATAATAATGACATTAGTTAGTTGAGTCGAATTATTTAACTGAAACGATACATCATTTAAAAGAACAATGGAGAAAATAATGTTTAATACATTCTAAGTACCATGCAAAATAATGTTGTATAGGAAATTGTTTACAATGACATGTGCATTACAGATATTCTGAGTATTTCTACGTTTAATCATGCTTCACCAATTCTGTATTTTATGTTTTCCAAAAATATTCATATATATATTTAAAATGCTTAATTTTTATGAAACAAAAATGAGGATCCATTAGGTTTAGTATACAATATTTGCAACACTGAAAAATGGCACATGGATAAGAAACGATCCATGGTATGTCATTGATTCTCATTAGTTGATTTACGTCTAAAAATTAAATTCATATATCATTTGTGACGATTCGTTTTTTTTTAAGAATAACGCAAAAAGCATAGGAAGACTCAACTAGAGTACGTTTTGAGCTTGAAATTATCAGGTATCTATTCCATCTAAATATTTTTTGGAACGCACAACTGAATAAACCGAAATTTATGAAAATAAATAATTTTTAATTTTTTTGTTTAAAGTTATTTTGATGATTGAAATTAACAAAATGTAATTAACTTGTTTTATTTGTAAGCAACCATACTGCTCAATGCAATCTAGACGATCTTACATTGGTAAGTTTAAAATACATTTTGTATATTAATAATAATAAATTATCACAATAAATTAAAATGTGTGTATAATTAGTTAGCGAAACATTTGTTTGTTAGATACAAAAGTTTTTCCTTTAATTTTAAAACGAACTATTTGTTTAAGCAAAGATGGATAGTGGCTAGCAGTGGAATCAAGGACGCGCGTTTTGTTCTATTTGGAACTGCCAGCCACTATCCATCTTTGCTCAAAAAGCTTGTGACTTAAGGCTATATCGAGGCAATCCGCACAGGATGCACATATTCCAACATGAGACTGATCAATTGCGGTCCTAAATAACAATCGTGAGATACAAGTAAAATAACACCAAGTGAAATATTTGTTTGTTTGTTTTTCAAAATCTATTGTGCTCATTCTTTAATTTAACTTATTTTACTAGTAGGACGAAAAAAGGTTACAATGTGAGTCACATCACATAAAATAGAAATGAATTAGCTATAATTATATATGTCACATGTTAGTTATACATTTATCTACTTATCGTTTTAGCAACAAAATGAAATAATGTAAGAAATTTGACTGATTGTGAATATTTCAAATCTAATTTTATTGAATAGCATAGTATAAGCTGAATTTTGTAATTAGTTAATGCCGATATGATGTGTAGTATGTGTAGTGGCTGTGCTTCGTTGACTGATCATCCTCGTAACCGTTATCATATAATTATAAGGCAAAGAGAAGCAGCGACTACAGTTTTATTAGCAGATAACTCGGACCACGGAGCAGTGAACCGAGAGTTTAGAGTGTTAAATGTACATGTATATATGTAGGGAACTGAATGGATCATCGAATCAATTAAGGAGTTAATAATAAAGCTAGCAGAATGAATATATGAGTAGGCGGTAAGCAATGTTCAAGCATACATATTTCACATAAGCAAAACAAGAATAAAGGTACAATAAGTTGTTCTAGTAAGAATGACTTTGTCCGCTAAGTTAACAAAAGGGCTTAACTGAGTTAAATGAGAACAAACTAAATTGCAAGTGAGTTGCTATACATGTAAAACCAAATCATATTGTTGTTTAACATCCTTTTCGCACATTGTAGTAGAAAAATAATTTATATTTTTGTACAATAGTTCTTATATTAATACTATAATACAAAAGTATTTGTTTTCTATTTGTGTTTTATTCTTATGGTCTGTTCCAAAATTCTTACTTCATCTCAATTATTTGAATGGAAACGATAACATCATTTTGATGAAATGTTTCAATAGTATCAAAGAAAACTCTTGAAAACTAAAGATTTTAGTCAGTATATTACTATCTTATTGAATGAGGATACACGAATTCAAAAGGTTTCATACAGAGAAATGTTATTTTATACGAAACCAATTATCTAAGTTGTTCTACTTCCTAAAAGACAATTTTCTGAAATGAATGATGAAAAAACTCGAAGGAATAATCTGAATTATTTATTCAAAACAAATAATATAAAATCTGATTCAGATCATTACACTTTAGTAGTAAAATAGTTGTTGTACTCAGGAAAGAAAAGACTGATTCTTGTTTTTGTTATCTTTTATCATCTACCTCATATTACTAGTAAAGTATCCAGATTGTTAGTGAATGAATAAAAATAATAAGTAAGTTTGTATACCTCGACAATACATAACCTAATTTATTGTCAATACTTTTTATGAACTTTTATTAACTCTTATTCCATATTTTGTTCGTTTGACTTACTATGTAAAACAAAAGACTACAAATAATTGTGATAAAATAAAATATTTCATGGGTGTTGTATAAAACTTTGATTTGAATTCATTCAAGTTATTCTATCAACAGGAGAACAAGTATGGTTATTGTTACCTTTTTTTAAATTTTAATTTACTTAATATTAATGATATGTAGCTATGAATGAAACTAAACAAAACAATGGGATGTTTTAAAATATACTTTCATTACATTGAAAAAAAAGGTGTTTAATCATAGAAAATAACACTTTCTTTAACATTAATCAAGTTACCTTTGTTATAGTAATTTGTGAATATCACTATCATAGTCTATTTGAATGAATGCATTTTAAAAGAAAATTTATATATACAGAAACTTTATATGGTTGGTAATTGTATTAATAAGTTCTCAACAAAATACTAATTGTTATGCATAATCATTTACAAAATGATTTCAATTTGGTCAACAACAAAAAACAAACAAACATACTCTGTATTTGACACTATACAAATTGTTTATTATTTATTCAATAAGATAGTTATAAATGTTTTCTTAAACAAAATATTATTTCATGTATTCCATGTTGAAAGCACAATAACTTTAAAAGACATTTTCTTTCCTCTCATTAAATTCAAGTATATTTTAGTTTCCAAAAAGAAAAAGAAACAAAAAAACTAATCTCCACTTTTTAAAATTCCTACCCATCTATATTTTTGGCTAGATAAATTTTATTATTATTAAAGGTTCAACATGATTAATGAGAGGGATATTAAAGATTCCCATTGTGAAAATTGGAACAACATATGTAAGTGAACAATTGTTTTCAAATAGCTTATCATCAGGCTTTACTCTAATATAAACATGAATATTTATACGAAAATGTTAAACCAGTCAAGCAATATGGGTCAGTAATCACAATGAAATAGAATAGGTCACCACACATAATTGGTAATAGTATAAGTTGATAGTAGGAAGATAGGTGTACTGATAGTAGTAAAAAAAATTAAATACAAAAGTCATATCAATAGTTAAACATTGGAAATACAAGATCAAACGTGGGTGAATAGACTTAGAATAATCATCACAAAACATTGAAACCATTACGTAATATGAAGTGTGTAAATAATTAAATAGTGAAGGATTGAAACGGAAAAGGCGGAAAATTGCAAACAAATACGGGTGTGAAAATAATGCTAATGACAAAAAAATAAAACAAAATTTATAAAAAGAATTGTCATTAGTTATATCCGGCCATTGAAGGGATAGGGGGATCACGAATTTCTTCCGTACACATAAATTGGGGTTAAATGTACGAATTCCTATGGCTTCAGCTATATTTAAGAGGGGGGAACGAAATCCATCGGGAAGTGATGGATTTATGCGAAGATCACTCTAAATGACTTCGATTTGTCTACAGTGTGACCGCTATCAATTAGATGCTTAACTATTGATATAACTTTTGTTATTGTATTTTATTATTCTTACTATTATCAGTACACCTATCTTCCTACTATCAACTCATACTTTTACCAATTATTTGCGATGATGTATTCTATTTCATTGTGATTGTTGACTTAAATTGTCTTGATTGGTTTAACATTTTCGTATAAATATTCATATACATTAGAGTAAAGCCTGATGGAACTCGGCTTTCATCATGAGGCTTATTAACTCTTCTAAACAAACCAGATCCCAGCAGAGGAGGAAATCAGGAAGAAGCGTTCGAATTGGATAGGACACACATTGAGGAAAGCACCCAACTGCGTCACAAGACAAGCCCTCACATGGAATCCTGAAGGCCAAAGGAAAAGAGGGGGACCAAAGAACACAATACGCCGCGAAATAGAGATAGACATGAGTACAATAAACAAGAATTGGATAGAACTAGAAAGGAAGGCCCAGGATATAGTGGGTTGGAGAATGCTGGTCAGTGGCCTATGCTTCATTGGGAGTCACAGTCGTAAGTTAGTAAAGCCTGATAATGATCTAATTTAAAACAATCGTTCATTTACATGTATTGTTCTAAATGTAAGAAGAATAGAATTTATTTTTAAAAATATGACTATTTTTTAATGTTTACTCTGACTTATGCATAAAAGAAAATATTGTGATAAAAAGAAAACTTTCATTTAAATCTCAATAAAACAAGGAAATTTATTTATAAAGACGAAAAGACTCATTGAAAAAAAGCATTTCTCGCCTACATTTTTAATTTTTGACTTTAATTTTTATTTGTATTGTAGATATAAATAGATTTCAACAAGGTAACATTATGCGCTTTAGAAGAAAAAATGAGAGAAAAAAATGAAGAGAAATCCTTTTTTTCAATGACTCTTTTCGTCTTTATAAACAAATTTTCTTGTTTTATTGAGATTTACATTAAACCTTTTTTTTGGCGAGACTATAATTTATGGACGAATTAATCAGATTTACAATAGCGGGTCTAAATAGAACTTTGGCATTATAGCTAATGTGAGTTCGTGATGAAAACTCTAAATCTAATTCCTAACCCTAACCATCAGCTGTAAATCATAATCCTTATTTTTCAGACTGCTTTATAACCGTCATTTTGGTTCTAGTTATAAGATTTAAACTCTCAAAGTCACTTTAGCGTTGCTCAAATGTCGTCCATAAATTATAGTCTCACTAAAATGTATATGAGGTAATTATAAAATTACTTAAGCCAATAGATTTCCATGTTTGTTTATTTAAAAACAAAAAAGAATAATTGATCATTGAAATGTCATTTACATTATGTTGTAGAAAAATTAAAATAAAATTATTATTGGACATTTTAAAAGTCTTATCTTGTATTAAATGAAATTGGTAACAATTTTTTTTCAATTTTAAAGATGCCACATAGAAATGTATAGATGTAAGTTCTTTTTTTTTCTAACTCACTTTTGTTATAAACTGAATTGATAAGACACTGTGAATGATAATCTGGCTTAATTTTTGGGAACATGAAACAATCCACCAGTTTTCAGAAAACTACAATCCACATACAAAATATAGACAATATATAATATAATATTAAAATATCTACTGTTACCTTAAAAGAAACGAGAGAAATCACAGCAAATCTGATCTATGAGTGTGATAAGTAAAAGTGATCATCAAATTTGTATGTTGTGTATGAAAATTTCTTATTCGATTTCGAGAATAATTCATCATGGGTACGACATCAAATTTTTCTAAATAAATGATCCTCTAAGCCACTTTATATATATTAAGTAAAGATTGTTTTAAAAGCTAAGTGTAGAACCTAATGAGAAAGAATACTCTTCGTTTATATAATTATGTTTTAATATCATGAGAATGTTTCAGCGATTAAAACGAGAATATTTTACTATATAGTTGCAACGGTTTAAAACTAAATGTTTTGACTAATAATCATATAAACTAGTCTTTCTGTGTAACTTCGACTTTGTTTTGTTTTAAAATCATTAGGAAATTTCTTTAAATGATTTGTAATAAAGACACAAATTAGACATGAAATTTTAGTCGTGAGTGTAGATCATCATTCAGCAACTGAATGAATCTTAATATTTTCTGTAATCAACCACTATTGAGACAACAGGGAATTTATTTTAGCCGCAATGTCTCATATGTCTTTCTCTAAACATTTAAGAGAAAATGGATATGTGTCTAAAGTGCGCTATTCATTTAACCCATAGAATAGAACAAGTGTTCACTAATCCTTCGATACTCTGATTGAGTTTATTATATAACCTACTGAAAAATAGTTGTTATTCACAAATGTTCTCTGAAGTTGACATGTATCTCAATTTCCCATCTAGTCACTTAGCCCTGTAGTGAACAGAACACGAGTGGGGACAATCGAATGTATTTAACACAAAATTACAGGACTTGTTAATAAAACGTAACAACCATAAAGTAAATGCTTAATTTGCAAAATGTCCACGAACTGTCTCAAAATGACTCAAACTTCATTTTCATACAAATCGCATCCTGCTTCCGTTCTTTACCGTTCGATCCTCATGTCTCTCTGCTGCCAGACCTTCTGTTTACGACTAACATCATATACTACTTATGTCAATATAAGTAGCACACACCACAGCCCTATTTAATTTTTGTCAGAAAATCATGTATTTATTTGTTGAATTAGATTGAATAATAGTTTCATATTTGTGGCTAACCCTGGAAATGCAATTTTTAAGTTTTATCTATACTGGTCATTCATCGAACGTATTTTACTGCAGATTTCAGTACTACTTTAATTCACCTTAAAACTGATTTATGTTATTTACGTTGTGACTGAACGGTTGTGGAAATAAAACGGAGGTATTTGAATTAAACAGTGTTATTAAATATTATTAAACAGATAAAAATATAATCGAATGAATTAGAGTTAGAAGCATGCATAACTCTATAAATAATCTAGTAAAATGAAATCTTATTTTTGCATAGCTGTGTCCATCAAATCAAAAGATATCATGTGGTATGCTTCATAATAATAATTACCAATAAGTATTTGGAGTATTTGGTAAATGTAATTGACAACCAATTTTTCACTCGAAATCAATTATTATTTATTTAAATTATCGATAGGCGGCATTATTGTTTAGTGGTTTTCATTCGATAATGATTATGATCTGAATGTAATGAACGAGGACTCAAATGGGGACAACCGATTGATTATTTTATTCAAAATTATAGAATAACTTGGTAAAATATAAGAACCATAAATTAAATCCTTCACTTGAAATTCTCTCATCAACGATCCTCTACATTCTGTCGGATTCTTCCAATTTACAATTCCTTCATATTTCCCTTTCTGTTTTCTTCGATTTGGCCTTCTTAGCCTTCTTACGTCAGTCATTGAACATTAGATTGGTGTTACGCACTACTTTTGTCAACAGACATAAATAGTATACACCACATAGGTAATGTTCAAACAGTCAATAACTTATCATACCGCATATGAATAATACAATTGAAGCCAAAACTAGGCAACTCAGGTTACAGAATAACATAATCAATAATCCTGATATTGATAGTTTCTATTCTACCTAAACAAGGAAGTTCAATTCTATGTGTATAAGAATGAGTGAGAGTCTGGTTGCTGAACAGCAATTTTTCAGCAATTAATATTTCTAACATTCAGTTCATTTATCTATAGAAATGGTTTTATTCGTTTCACTTGATTAGTTTCAAGTATTTATTTATTGTTTTGCTTTAGAAGTACACCAGTCAACCAAAACACTTGGTATCTGCAAGTTAGAGTTTTGTTATACAATTAATGACAAAAGATTTATTAATTAGAATATAAATGGCCGGTATACTAAATTCATGTCAGTCTCTATTTTTGGAAAAATCAAATGTTTTGAATAAACATACAACTTGCATTTTCAGTAAGCTACTATCTGTGATGATGATTGCCTTAGACTTCGATCAAACTAAATCGATTACTTCTGTCGTTTAGTGTAAATTAATCCTTCACCATCGAGAATTTCGCTAAAGTAAGTAAATGAAATTCGTTCGAATAACATACACTAATTCATTCAGGTATGAAGCTCTAATATATAGAGTTTCCACCGATCACAAATTATAATTATCATTGATCTAACCATATTCAAATGAGGATGAAACGGTTCAATTTTTTTCAGTTTGAATGGATGATCTCGGATTATAACAACTGTTATTCAAATAAGAGCTCACTTCTGTGTGAGATGATTAATCTTAATAAACATTTTATCGAATCAAGCTTCTCTGACTGGTCACAATTATTTGACAAGAAACTGTTACTCTACACAACTTACGCCATGACTTCAGAATGAATCAATTTAGTTTAAAAGGCGGAATTTAGATGATAATGAATAACTGTTTTACAAAACCTCATTAATACAGGCTATCAAATGACGGTTATTAAAAAAAAGCCACATTACATCATACTACAAGTTCTACTGTACTATCTTTCAAATTCATCAGGTTGCTCAAAGTCATTTATTAAGATTGTTACTTTTAAAACGCTTGAAATAATTTGTGGATTCAGTATCTAAACCCTAGTATCACATTTCGTGATAATTTAGTGCGCAACCTGGTATAAAACTTTCCTTAAAATCGAAATCTATGTCTGTAACGAGTAACTGATTAGCAGTAGCTTTTAATTTACAAATGAAATGTTATTGCTAATAGGATTGAAACACAAGATCCTCCATTTTAGTTACTGTAAAGTCATTCTCAAGCTATGGTACATAAACTGCCGCAGTTCCGTTGTCATAAAGATTAACTTTTTAAAATAAATTGAGTAAACATAACAAAAATTTCCCAGAATCTGTTAAGGTAATATATCCTGTACAGGATGAAGTATCACGCTCTTCAAAAAACAGCTGTAAAATCAGAACACGGAAAACAGTAAATTAGTACATGTGTTCGTACCGGCAATAAACAACAAAGAATAAAAAAATTTAAAATTTTTTTGAAAATGAATGTTTTGGAAACAAACAACAGAAAACGACTGTATTCAAAATACTTCATAATCAGTAAAACGGTACAGGCTTGTCAAAGCGTCTTATCTATTTAGGTGAATCAGTGACAAAAATTCATTGGAAACATAAGTCTCAATTTCAGTGTACTTATATGTTGTTGAAGTCCAAGAAACAATTCAAAAATTAAAAATAGTATAACGTTTATCATAAGTTCACACTTGTTTAGTAGATCTATTGAATGTTTTGATACATTTGCGTTTGCTCAACATTAGTGATTTAGCGTAAGTTTGATTTGGCAACGATAAAATACATAATCATGAGTACTTTAACAATCTACAGTTGATGTGCTCGTGTCGAAGTATCGATTTTCTGTCAGTTTTGAAATAATATTTGTGCTAATTTGATGAATAGAAATATAAATGCGATGGAATCCTATATATATAGAAAATGCTTGAAGTGGATAAGTAATTCTGTTGACTGCGACTTTTCAAATATTATGTATCATGACACTAAAAAATCATTTATACGTATTGCTTGTTTTAATCTTTTCGCTAATATTTATGACTGCAATTATTCAGTCTCTTCTGGTACATGTCCATTAAGTGAGGATTGCCTCCATATTGTCGCTAGGTTACAAGCAACTTTAAGCAAAGATAAATTAAAATTAACCCCTCGTTACCAACCAGTAGCTATCTGGACTTGACAGCTAAGTAGCTAATGGGTGGTATTTGAAACGAACGGCAGTGATTTCGGATCTCGGGATGAATGTCGTCTCAAGGTTCGAAGTGCATCCAGCTAACGAGTCCCACATGGAACAAAATGTGTTTTCTGAATTCCAGTGCTAGCTACCATGCATGTCCGCTTAAATGACTATTTTTTCATTCAAAAACAAATGATTATCTTTTTGAAAGGATACATTTTTCATTCAAAGTTGTTTCGTTTTCATTCTTGATTATATCTCCTACATTTTGCATAATTTGCCTTCAACTGACTATCATTAGGTTGTTCATTATTAAGAATTAAAGAACTATTTTGAAAAAATTCTCATAGCAACACTTTTGATTAAATTCTCCATAAATTGTTGTACTATAATCTCAAGAATAAACGGGTAAGTTGTTTGCTGACTGTTGAGTGTTAATCATTTTATTTATTGAATATAATTACTCGTTTTTTTCGTAGAAAATAAAGTGTATCTAAAATTATTAATAAACAAAGTTGATTATTCTATTTAATCCAAATATACCAGCTAAACTAATTGAAATACACATCAATCAACATACATTCCTTTCAGTTTTTCTAATATGAAAAAACAACATATCAATTTGACAACTATAATGACCAATGTTAAATTCATAACATCAAGAGAAAAAGATTATAATGCAGTGATTTGACGATTGTTTAAGAAATACAATCTACAATGTTTATATCATTAAACTACCAACAGAAGTAATAAAGTATGAACATCACTTCCTGTTAATGAAACATATTAGGAAACAACTTAACAAATAGTATAACTTTCTTCTGTATGACATAGATATTCAATATATAATAAAGTCATATGAGAGCTTATTTTGTCGCTTAAATTATGCTTTCAATGTCTCATTAATTATCGAGTTTCATACGAAAAAATCAAGACATATCAATTCAAGTTTAATCATATCAATCAAAAATCAGAAGTATAGAAAACCATTTGAAACTGAAATACAAGTTTCATGACTAAGTTTTTCTAATGTTTTTTTTCTTTGTAAGTCATTCAATTGTATCTTATGTTCTGAACACTGCTTGATGTCAATGAAATATATCTAGTTAGCAATGAAATTGCAAATCGTTTAGAAATTGATACGCACCATAATAAAGATATCAACACTGGTTCAAGAGTATCTGGGTGCAGGGTATTAAAAAAAGACAATCACATCTACAACTAGCCGTTATTCTAAATATATTCAATAGGCTACTGTATGATTAATCGAGAAATTGAATCAAAAGAAACTGGTGATTTACATTTCTTAGTGTTGATATTCGGTGGACATCAATTTATATATATACATAATGGTTACGTTTTGCTGTTTATTGAAAATTATAAAACTTTAGAGGTGTGTTGTTGTCTAAACGTGTGGGATTTGAATATTACTACTATAAATAATAGATTATTGATTGTCGTATGACATTCTCAGTAGACATCGATCATTTGTTTCACAAATGAGAACTTATTCACTAACACTATAAATCATGATGTTGAAAAAGACAAAAAGTTACATGACACTTCATCTTATGTATACTTGACAGTTTATTGAAGACAACTCAGAGGCCATTGAATTTCTGAAGTCATTATGACTGAATAATACATATATATCTATTTCATTGGAATTCTTACCATTCAAACTTCTAGATAAACGTATACAATTATTATCTCGGTTAAAAACATTGATCTTGATCTTTTGCATACCCTTCCAGTGAAACATATATATTTGAGTCAACTTATGATTGCTATCACCCTAGAATACTGTTATGCAACATTTCACTGATGAAACAGACATTACTCATAGATGTTATCTTCATCCGATATTTAACCTCTACGTCGCATACTTATTTCTTATGCTTATTAATAATTACAATTATAATGAATGTCACACTAAACTAGATTATTCTAAGGAAACTTTATGTCTCCTGCATATTAATTGATATGAATCTTTAGAATGATTTTTGTTTTATTCAATAAACAATCATATTTATTTAAATTAAAATTGACTTCTTAGTTAAATTTTCATTTGGTTAGTACTTCATAATCATTGAATTTCAGTGATCAGGTAGATATAATGAATGATAGAATAGTTTACTACTTGCCATTGCTTTCAAGTTTATAAATTAAAGAAATCATCAATTCATTATATCGTCGGGATAATTGGAATTATAGTGTTTACAGTTGACTTTGAACTTTTAAAGTATAGAAATTTATCTATGGAGTATAAAAGATTATTAAGTCATGAAAAACTAATAGAAAAACTTGTTACACTAAATAAACTACGTTTTGAATATATATACTCATTACCCAGAATCACAGCCTGTTTTTCAAACAGATCGATGTTTTAAATACCTTTTTTTGTTCATTTCATATGCTATTTCAGTCTACCTGTCTACATTCATATATCGAGTGCTCTTTATTCAATAAACAATACTATTTCTGGCTTCTGTTCTAATTTGTCAGTTATTATTCATAAAAAATATATCATGTATTAAAGAAATCGTTCAAATGTTGTTTGTTTGCAGTTTAATTCATTTGTGTTACATTTTTCAGCACTAAAACAATTATTTACTAAAACATGTACAATATTAATTCGTGACTTAAATAATAACTACACCACTACGCATTTATATAATTGTCTGAATAATTTGTTCTATGATACAAATATTTATCGTAAGCAATTTTAGTCTTCTATGTTGATAGGATCATAAATATTAACTAAATTAGTTGAATGATGATTTTCGAGGTATCAAGTTAAACTTACTTAAGTAATGTGAATAAAGATTCATGTTTTGGCATATTTATATTTAAATCTTTAAAATTATGAATATGATTTAGAGTTTTACAGATGTATTTGTTAAAAATAATTTAACTTCAGTTAAGATGTTATCGAATTTATAACTCGATTGAAAGTCGAAATAGAAATAGACAAAAATACTAACCGATTTCAGAAAGTGTTAAACTATCACCGTTTTAAGTTTCAATAAAATGAACAGAAGAATAACGATTAACTGCTAATCGTTCTCATTCTATAGAAGATTATTTCGTAATAAACATTGTTACGTTTTTGATGAGATCATGAACCGATTGATGTTAGACCACCATGTGTGTCGGGTGGAAACAGGTGTCTACTTCAGTACAATGGAAGATGGTCGCGCAACTTCGTGGACTGGTTGAGGTTAGACATTAACACCGTTGGATGCCGGCCCAGTGGTCCAGGGTGTTAAGCGTTCGCGTGCGAGACTGAAGGCCCTGGGTTGGAATCCGGCGAGCGGGCTCGTGGACACGCATCACTGAGGAGGCCCACAATGGGACGAAACGGCCGTTCAGTGCTTCCAGGTTTTCCACACATCGTTTTAGTGAATAAAATGTTTTCAACTGAAATATTTCCTTATAGATATAAAGATGAAATAATATTTCATAAGATAAATTTGGAATTTATAACAAACGTTTAATCTATGAAAAAGATGATTATGAACTTAGAAAATACTCATTACAAATAGTGTGCTTAAAATGGTAAATAACGCTTTGAAATATGGTCACTGCCATAGAATTCTATGTTCAAAAACTAAAAATCAGAAAACGTGTATCCATTATACGTTATGTCGAATAGTGAACTATTTAAAAAGAATGTGAGCTGTGAATTTTGAGTAATTGTTCTAAAAAGTCTATAGGTGTTAGTAATATATTAACTCTCTCAAAGTTGGAAACAGTACATTAGTAACAGAAACGTGTATTGAATACACACTTTGACAATTCTCTCATACCTATAAGTCTAGTAACACTAGGTGTATTACTAATGCACCATTTTTCACGTCAAGACATTTTTTAACATATTATGCACGTGAACAACTGCTTTCATCATGTGAGTATTACAGATTATGATTATAATATACAGACATTTTTTGCTGTTCGATTTCAATCACAATTTACTATTCATCATTTTCAATGTAACTTGTTTTTACAATGTCGAAAACAGAAAAATATATTAATTATTTCATTTATTAACAAACATTTGTAAATCTCCTCAACAACCTTTTAAGATATTTCACCTTGTCAATTCAAGCTCTTAACTGATAAAAAATAAATATCAGCTTTAAATTTATATCTTAACATTGTTACGCAGTAAACTAATGTCAATACTACTGAAATGTCAAATTTTTCATAATATTGTTTCTATTGTACATTATGTTTTTGTTGACGAACTAAGTTACTGTATAGATAATTTTGACATTATATATTATGTCTGATTTGTTATCACAGCATGGATCTTTATTTATGATAATATATAATACATTAAATTTGAAGATCACTTTTATATTTCAATTCTGTAAAATTATGTATTACTTATTAATTATAATGTCATTCTTTTTTCTTACATGTTTTTGTAATATAGTCAATTGAATGAACACAAAAATAAAACTATTTATCTTAAGTATGCTAATTCATTGTAAATTCGTAGGTATCATTACAAAAGATTTCATTGGATAATAATATATTTGTAATATTTCAATGAGTAGAAAAATTAGATCCTCTGACGTTTCTTGACTTAGTGTAAGCCACTTCTTCAGAGAATGAATAACCAAATTAAAATTGATCCAAGTTTAAATAGTACAACAAAACAACATGTATATTATGTTATCAATTTAAAATCAGGTCTGAACAAATCAATGTCATGTCATTTCGATCAACGTGATTCATATGTGACATGTATGTAAATTTGTGTGTATGTATGTGTGCACTGTCTACACAGAACTGCGTCTACAAATTAGGTTGTGTCGATTGTGATGCCTTCTATATTGGAGAATCATCTTGAGAAATCTTGACTCGTGTCAAAGAACATATTAGGTACATAAAGAAACCTCCTAATAATCCTGCAGAACTGGATAAACTTCAAATTAAATCGGCAATAGCGGTTCACGCCATTTTCAACGACCTTCAAATCGATTTCAAAAATATCAGAATATTACAAAAAGGTTTGTCCAATTACAAAGAAAGGAGAATAGCTGAAGCTTTCCATATAATTCTTCTTCTTTCAATATAAAAGAAGGCTTTACCACAAATCCTACTTCGACTACCTATCCTAGCCACCTAGTCTAACATTATTTACAATTCACACTATCATCTTACAAATTAAACTCTATTCTTTCTCACTATAAAACTAACACCATTTTTCATCCTTAAATAGTGCACACACACATACACACAAGTTTACATACATTCGTTTGTGAATCACCTTGACCGAAATGACATGACATTGATTTGTTCAGACCTGTTTTTTAATTGATCACATAATATTCGTGTTGTTCTCTTGTACTATTGAAACTTGGATTCATTTTGATTTGGTTATTCATTCTCTGAAGAAGTGGCTTACACTAAGTCACGAAACGTCAGAAAATCCAATTTTTTTAATCATCAGCATATTACAAATATATTAATTTATTTATCATTGTAAATCCATTTCTTTACCAAATTCTAACAAATGAATTTTGTGATTTTAAACAAGATTATCATAATTATTATTATTAAAATAGAATTACAAACATACTTCAAATTGTATTAAGCATTAAACATTTAATCACAAATATGCATAAACATATGATAATCATTTATTCATTTATTTTAAACAATCTTTAGACAACTTTGATAACTTAATAAACAAAAATAGTAACTAAGATAAATTTATGTAATTCATGTCAATAACTTTGATAAATTTCATTCCAAAAAAACAGTTTCATTTTATCGACAGTACTGTCGTGAACAGAACACGGGTGGAGCCAACCGAATGTATTTAATACAAAATTACAGGGCTTGTTAATAAAATCTAACAATCAAATAGTAAATACGTAATTTCCATCATTTGTCTCATAATGACTCAGAATTCATTTTTCTTGCATTTTCATACAAATCGCACTCTGTTTCGATTCTCTACTGTTCCATCCTCTTATCTCTCTGCTGCCAGACCTTCTGTTCACGACTAACATCATATACTACTTATGTCAATATAAGTGGCACACACCACAATACTACTTACAAAATTATAATGTCAAATTTAATTAAATGAATGACGTTTATTGACAGTTAATGTATAATGTAAATAATTAACGAATAAAATACTATACCATGGTTTTGTTTATTTTGTTTTTTTATTTTCTAGTTTAATCATCTATTAAAACATTCATTAACATTTAAGGCAGTAATATAATTATTTTAAACAAAAAAATAAATAAATAAATAAACATTCTAAAGGTGACAGTTAACGTTTTTGGTTTACAAGTATAAATTTTGTACAACTATAACTTAGTAATTTTATGATAGTAAACAAATCAATCATTTTAAACAATATTATTGATTTATAAGCAAAGATGAATAGTGGATAGCAGCGGAATCTAGGATGCACGTTATGCACAGTATGCATATACACCAATAATTGCAGTCCTAAATATCAATGAGAAGATTCAAGTAGAACTATACTAAGTGAATTTAAATTTCACCCGATTGCACAAGCCAGTGACTATCAAGACTCAGTAGGTAAGTTGATAAAGCGATGGTGTTTGAAGTGAACGGTAGTGGGTTTGAGCCCCAAATTGGATGGAACGAGCGTCCTGTATTCCACTGCTAGCCACTATCCATGTTTGCCTATAAGGCTTGTAAATTAAGGCAATATCGAGGCAGTACACGCAGTATGTACATATGTCAATAAGAGACTGATCAGTTGTATTCCTAAACACCAATGGGAAGATTCAAGTAAAACAATGCCAAGTGAATTAATATTATTCATTTGTTTTGAAGTAATTGTATTTCACTTATTATTTTTCTTATTATTTGTTGCTGTAATATATGGAAAAATGTAAATGTAATTTTGTTTTTCATTGAAATATTAATGATGTATTCATGTATACATGTAACTGGTTAATTGTTTTCTAAAAACATCCACTGAGATTATTGTATTTTGGTGTATTGAAGTTGATTTTCGATTTAAGTGATAATCTATTTTAACTAAGGTTTGATATGAAAGTTAGACTTTAGATTCAGTTAACCTGAAGTAGTTTCCATCACAGCTTATAATAAGCACTTTTAACGACATTTGAATCAACAGTGATATTGACACAGTTTATTTACTCAACAGGTCTTCCCAGTATCGTGTAAATATATTAAAATCTGCCAAAGTATTGACAATATTTACGTATGTTGGAGAAATATTTTCTTCCAAAGAATTCCATTATCAATTAAATGGGTAAATTGTACAAACTAAGCAAGGCTGTGTTACGCATGTATTCTCTATTAAATTAACTTCCATGTTTGCATTCGGCTAATTCTATTTTTAGCATATCTTGAGGCTTTTAGTCTGTACGTTGTTTCTCTGCAACCATTTACTGAAACAAACTGAGTATCCTAGAAAACGATGTCACAAATTTGGTTTTATAGAACGTATATCACAATTAATACCTTAAAAGTTTTTACAATAAGTAATACTGTGATAAGAATGCTTTTAAAACTGAGTTTGTATACTAAGTAAAAAGAATAAGTCCTTTCAACTCTGAATTAATAGGATTACGTTATCATTAGTTAAAGAAAATAAGTACTTACCAGATGTTATTACTTGTAAACTGAAAAACCCCATAAATGGATAGATTTTTTAATGGTCAAAAGTAATCACATAGAATAAGTTCGAAGTCAGTCTAATTCGCAAAAGTCTGAGAGAAACTGTACAGTAGAGAAATTCAATTATAATGAATCTTATTTCATTGGAAAAAATAACAGTCGAAATCGACTGTCAATAATTATCTTATCTTCCACTTCATCTACAACTCAACTGCATGTAGAACAGATGTCATTACACTAATAAAACCAAAAAGTTTAGAAAAAGTGACTTAAGTCTATTCGCCAATCTTAATACTAACATTCAAATTGTTACTATGCAGAATTCTACATATCTACAATTAAAATTTCTTTTAGAATAAATCACTTTCACCAAGTATGATTTCTTTCAAGTCAACTTTTTCTTACTCTGATTCGTGAAAGAATCAACGGGCCACGTTATAAAAAAGGTTATCCCAATATTATATAAATCAATGGCATAGTAAAATATCAAGAATTCACATTATATTAGATTGCTAGTTAGTTTTCAAATCAAAAACGAAACACTTGTCTTATATTCTGAAATATATATATATATATATATATATATATATATATATATATATATAAACATGGTTGATTTCCATCTATTTCTGACAACAATGTCTTTTCAAAATGTCATACAAAAGTTTAATTTTATTTCAGATGATTAATGATCTCGTTCTACGATTAAAGAAATCTAAGGTAACAATAATTTGAAGTTTACGTTTCTTTTTTTTTTCTTAATTTTCACACTTCTGATTCTTTTGACCCAATTTTATTGTAGGCGCCTTTTTTTAATTACGTTAATTTATGAACTGTTATTTATAGAAAGTTATTGAAAATTTGTTTTATTAAAGTATAATCAGAAATATTTTAAAATGAACACTCTATATGACTAGATCTTCTAATTTTTTTGTGTTTGTTTGATATCAAAACAGAACATGAATGAAGAATGGTATACATTTTATTATTTGATAATGAAATAACCCTAGTATTTTTGAAAAAATGTTTTTCAATAGTTGAAATCATGAGTCAATTAAAGCTAGACCACCATGGAAAATGTGGAAGCACTGGACACCCGTTTCATCTCACTATGGGACTCCTCACCAGAGCATTCACGATCCCGCCTCACGAGATTCAAATCCAGGACCTAACGGTCGCGTGCGCGAACAATCAGCTTATAGAAGAAGTGACCAGTGGAGTTCAACCGGGTCCGTTGTGAGATAGCAACTCACTGAAGTCAATGATAGATATGTCGCTTAATTTCGAGGATTAGTTGAACTTATATATCAACACCGTTGGATACCAGCAGGCTCAGTGGTACAGAGGGTGAAAGTTCGCGCGCGAAAACAATACGTCTTGGATTCGAGTCTCACGGGGCGGGGTCGTGGATTCTCACTGCTTTTCAGTGCTTTCAGGTTTTGCATGGTGTTCTAGCTTTGTAGTGTCAGTCATTATTTTAAGCCCATATACTTTATTCTAACTTTCGGACTGCACAATCTATTCATTCTACTTGAGTCATATTTTGACCTTGTCAATTATTCGCTTATCAGTCTTGACTGTTTTTATATGAGCGTATATGTGTTTACATTTCATATCCCATGTCTCATCACATGTCTGTAGTTTATTTTGTCTGCCTATAAATATTGCGTAACGCCTGGCTAGAAATGGAGTTGGCTTCCCAGCCATCTTCCCTGGGCGTCGTTTTGCTTTGCTCTATTTCATTCGCTTCATATATAAAATATATGTATTCACAATTCCATTCTCGTTATTCGAATTACATAATTCCGTTATTGACTAACGCAATTAAAGTCGATGATTATATACGAGGATAGGTGACATATATATTTCAACAACAATCATCATTACGATCTAAATGGAGTCAGATACACGGGCCACTAAATTGGAGAGCCCTTTCGACACCGTTCGATCTAAACGACGACAAAACTGCGGGCCTCCACTAGAGCTTCAATTGACTCATGTTCTCAACTAACAAAAGTGTATTTTGTAGTAAATTGTCTTTACTGTATATTATATTGTCTACAATACATGAACCAGCCAAACAATATTTAAGGTGTTTAATTAAAATAGACAAAGCGTAACTTTAGCTTCTGTTTTCTTCATAAGGAAATATCACTATGGAGTAGTTTCCAAAATTACTTCCTTCTTAATAAATAACATATTTAGGGCCGATAAAAGATGAAATAAAATTAGAATGAAACTTAACAACTTGAAATCGATTTAAAACTTCTGTAGAAGAATATTAAAAAAGTCGATCTGGTCACCCCAAAACATTTCTTATTTCAAATTATTTACTTAAGGATATAGATAACCACTTCTTTTCGTCCATAAATCAGGAATAGTAAATACTTGGGAAGAACGTTTCAGTTGGTCAGATGAAGGTTTTTATGCAGTACCAACAATATATTTATGAAAACAACCAGATAGTTGAACTTTAGCATCCAAGTTGTAGAGTAAACAACATTTAAAAATTGTCAATGTCTTAATTTTTTTACTACTTCAAAATTATAACATGTTCATGTCCTGTAATCAAGTATCTTTAATAAAAATAAAAGTTTCATTAACAACTGATGTTTGAATAATATTACCTTACTATATTTTCTGTTTTGAATGGAGTAAAGATACTGAGTAAGACTACATAACTTTATGATATCTTTCACTTAATATAAGTTTCTTTCTAAACTTGACTGGTAGATAAAAATCGCGACGAATGAGCAGTATCAAAATTCTTAAAGAAGAGAAAGACATATAACTCTGTCAAAGTTTTCAAAATGTACTTAAAAGCTTAGAAACTTAGAAAATCAATGATGAGAGAGATTTTTACAATTTGTCTAAAAGACTGGTTGTACAATACATTTGCTCAATAATATGACACATATAACCAATGTTTAGAGAACCAAATTTAGGTTTCATAAGCAGGAATAGAAAAAGTATTCCCCCTCTATTGTCAATGTTTCGATACCATGAACACAACTGACAACAAATTGGAAGAATTCCAACATCCAATTATCAGTAGTAGATATTCTATCACATTCATTGAATGGAACTTTCAGCCGGAACGTTGACAAATAATTCTAAGCAAAGATGGATAATGGCTAGCAGTGGAATTCAAGACGGGCGTTTCGTCCTATTTGGTACTCGTCAGCCGGATGTACTTGCATCTTAAATAATGTTTACAAAGTAAACCAAGAGCGTTTTTCTGTTTGTTAAATTTAGGGGAGATAACGTTCCACAGATCATGAAAAAAATCTATAATCTTTAAAGAAATGTTATATTCCACTCATCTTTGCATTTAGTTTTCCGTTTGGTCTTCGATTTGTGGATGTGTCAAAAACAAGCTCCTGCTTTGATCAATGCCAATGTGTTCACAAGTTTACTTGTTTTAGTGGAAGAGGTCATTTCTTAATCATAAGCGAGCTCTCACTGATCGCCACTCAAATCACTACCTTACAGTCAAATAGAGTATAAAGGTGCATTGGTAGCTTGATTCTTGAACATCTCATGAATTGTAGTTACGTTTACTCACCGA